ATATATATATATATATATATGATATATGTAATATATATTTTGTAATATATATATTAATATATATAAATGTCAATATCAAAATATTCTATTCGGAAAACTACATCTTGTTTTTTAAATTCTTTGTCTTTCATGCTACGGTCTACGTTAATGTGATCGTATGCCGTCTTGATCTAATTGGTTTTATGAAATAATACGAATTGAGTCTCGAAGTTAAATTTGTATTATTTTAAAGATATGAACAGTTCATGTAACGAAACATATATCTTTTTAAGTGTCATTATTTTTTAACTGTACAGAATTCCGCATACACTCTTTTCGTTGCGACTGTATGTTATTATTATTATATATTATTATTACATACGAATGTGTTCGTCATGATAATTATGAATAACTTTATATCATGACAAAAATGAATCGAATATGTAGACATTGCGAAACATGTAATCTTATTTAAATGTAATCCGTTTTTCTCGGATATTTCTTACCATTAATCGAAAAAACGTTCGATAATAACATATTAATACATGAAAGAATTTCGACGTCGATATCCGATAAAAAGGAACGTAGTTTACGAAGGATGTTATTTGGAATTTCTCGAGATCTCATGTTAATCGATCGTATTATAGATGCAATCAAGTAAATATTTGGAATCTTTTCGTACGAATCGATCGCGTTAGTGTTATCTTCCTGATGAATAAAAATAACGCACAATTTTCAATCGTACGCTGTATTAATGGCGTTTAATATACGATTTTTAGCATAATTGAATAATATATTTCATACACATAAATAAATAAAACAATTTGGAGTAGTTTTGACCATTTAAAAATTAAAAAATTTTCTTTTTCAAATTTACGAATATTATCGACGTGTATTCCCTCTTCTTGATAGCATAAGTTTTATTCTCGGTCAATCAGTATGTTCCTCTTTATCATGTAAACAATTTAAATTACAGATACGTAAAGAATATCTGTAATCCATTGAAAATCGCTTAAAAATATCTTAAAGATGCTTACATTTAATGAGAATGTGGTCTACCAAGGATTTATCATCTCAGTGCCAATTTGCAAAAAAAAGAAAAAAAACAGCTGTCACATGTTAGTTTCATAGGCGATACATTATATTCCATTCTTAACTTAGTAGACACAAAACTGTAGATTTGAATTTTTTGCAAATTATTGTTTTACAAAAGAGAACGTAATGTAAAGTTAGCGTAGCTTATTATTCCAAAGAGTTTTGTACTTGGGCTGTGCATTTTTGTCACGTTAATAATATAAATCAATTGAAAATGGTGTTAGATCGAACACTTAACAAACGTTAAATGACATCGCAAACAGAATTCAACAAACTGTACCTATGTCATACAAATTCTTTATTTGTTTGCGAAGAAAGACCCATAGTTGATTAAGCTTGTTCAAGAATGTTTTGTATATTATATCGATTATAAATAATCACAATGTAAATTAAAAGATGATTTGAAAAATGCAAGAGCAGATAATAAAGATACCTGATTTTAGTTAATTGTGGTTTTATTGATTATTTCAATGGCATACAACGGATATATAATGATCCATCGAAAATGTACAACTATTAACACATAGCAAATAATTGTTTCCAATGATTCAATACTAGTACTATGACAGTGGTGTAATTATTTTTCGTTCAGGTCCGTAAATATTATATAACAAAGTTTATCAAACATATACATATCTACAGAGATAAACATTTCAAAAAAGGATTAAAAGATTTCATAGCTTAATTACTTCAAGACATAAAAGTATTTGAAATGAAATTTAAATATAATTTTTTAATTATAGATTCAGAAAATATCTGTTTATAAAATTAAAATATCTAAAGTTTGATTTTCTTTATTTTTGCAATTAAATTAAAAAAAATTTTCTACTTAAGGCTAAAAAACTTGCAGTTACACCAATGTCATGTATTAATTTTTACTTCCTTTACAGCAGAAGCTAAATTATAAATCTTTACAGAAAGACTAAATATGTATGATAATTTTCTACATGTTTGTTTCTCAAGAGCATTGCTTTTTAGAATTTATATTACATTTCTTTAACGTATCAAAAAAGAAATGGATAAAACATTTCTAGATTAGATCAATACCAAAATTACAAATCTAGACTTGCACCATTTCTTTGTTTCTCCTGGCTCTCAGTCCATGCCTTTGCTATGGTTTTCTTTGTCTCATCATCACCATCTTGATACATTTTTTTCATAAGATTTATCAGACTGGCACTAGGATCAGTATCCTCACCTAATTCAGGCATGGAGGGCGATTTTGCATCCTTGATTCTCTTCTCCACCAATGTGACATGCGACCATTCTTTGGCAATCTTTTTTGCGAGAGAGACGACAATCATATCGGTTTTTATTTTAAAGTTACTCTTTTCGATATTAATCTCGCCACACAGATTATTAATCGGCAAATGATAATTTTTATTATGTAATCCGAATATGCGCAGATCCAGAGATTTCTCTGTAAAATTGCAGACAATGGCTTCCTTGGGCAGCTGATGAACATTGTTTAATGTTATATAAATCTTCATTGTTGTGTTTGTCTGGTCCCACCCATAGTTATTCAGTTTTACTTCGTAGCATTTTTGGGCAGTATTGAGCGAAGGTGTTGTAGACGTGTTCTTTTGTTCCAGTAGTTTTGCCGCTTCTGCCTGTGTCTGCAGTTTCCTAATTTCCAGTGTTAATATATCTTTGGTTCGTTGTCTATTAGCCTGCTTGAGTAAGTTGTTTAATTCCTCAATATCTAATTTTATCTGTGAGAAAGAATATTAAAATATTACTTAAGAAAATACTTTATCTGATAGAGAAATGATTAAATAAATTAATCTGCAAAAAATTGTTAAGTTTCATATACTTAAAAATTTCTACTTAAATAGTAAATTTGATAAAATGTGTGTGTGTGTGTGTGTGTGGTTATTGATATGATTTCAAAGAATACTTCTAATTATATATAGACAAAAGAATAAGTTTGCATCACAGCATCATTTTAACATGGAAAATTCATCTTTTCTTTTTTCCCTTCAAAATGTGAGCATAAATTATCAGATCACATTTTATATTCATAAAGTGTAGGAAAGTGTAATTAAAAATTAACACTAAAATATTTACCTCCTGAATCTTTGTTGACATTGTTGCTAGATTTTACAATATTACGAATTTTACACGACACCAAAATGTAATGGATGTTAATGGATCGATATCCAGAAATTCACTTTTCAGTAGAACACAAGAGACTGCAGAACGAAACAGATTGTACCCGGAATTGACCGACTAACTAATCTGACTGTCCGAACTCCGAATCTTCTAGAATTTTCTTTATCGCTTCTGTTAGTGTTGAGGTTATTAGAGAAAGATATATAACTCGGATGCTTCGAATCTGTTCTCTGTAGCTGCACTATTCTACACGTTTTGCACTAGGTATATAATTAATTATAATAAAATAAAATATTGAAGAGAGAGAGAGAGAGAGAGAGAGAGAGAGAGAGAGAGAGAGAAGTGTATATACAGAAAATATAGTCGAAAGAGATTCTTTGTCACACGAGTTGTACTGATTTGGACGCTCTAAGCACATGCTATGTAAGGATCCTCAAAGAGATTGGCTACCATGTTTGGTCAACTGTATTTTTCAGGATCTGCTTAAGTTAAAGGGATGCTGGAACCGCCTGTATTACCAATAAAATTAACGTTTTTGACGTTTCCGTTCCTGTCTAATTTCTTCGCAGGATAAAAATTGCTTCTCCACGATTTTTAAATATTCAGGCTAATGTATCTACCCCTGGCAAGTGTATTTTGTGCCCAAAGCTGGAAAAAATATGAAATTACAGATTTCTTTATCCATTTTTATAATATATCAGGGGCAAGTATATTAGCTAATTTAATGCAATTTTTAATGTAATAATTGATTATAGAGGAATAAAAGTATGTGTACTTTTTCCAGTATATATTTTTTTCTTTTTAATGTGTAAACGTTTCTATTTTTTTTTACAAAGCGACTAAAAAAAATAATTTTTTTCAGTAGAATACAAGTTATAGCGATATACATATATGTATATTCATGTATCACATGCCTACTTGTAACTGTACTGTATTACTTTTCATATTTAAAATAATACAGATGTGTAATATATTGGGAAGAAAAAAAAGAAAGTAAAAAGTATAAAAAATTTGACAAAGAACAAATCTTTGAGGAAATGTTATGAACATTGCAACTGATTGCAACATATATTTGTAGATAATTGCAAAGTATCAATTGGAAAGTGGTAATCAATTGCAAGTTTCACATTCAACATGTCTCTTCTATGAAATTAATAGAAATGTTTCTCTAATGAAATTAATAAAGAAATAATGGATCACATAGGTAAAATAATTTGAAATAATTTTTTTAAATTGACCCAAACTTTATATGTTGTTAACAATTTATTTTTACACTCGTGCAAGATATTTATAATACAAAATTCGGATCCAGCGTTTTTAGGAGAAACGAGCGTCCGTACGAAGGCTTCGATCGCAATCCAATGATCGCTTTTACATTATTACAGGCCACCAAGATATCAATTATGCTAATTGGTCGACGATTATTGTAGAACGGCAGCGTTCGCAGCTATACTGGGATTGTTGATGACTTCTCCCAGGCTCTCGAGCAATTCTTTTCTATAGTCGTCGAAATCGCCGTCGATAGCATTAATCTGCTGGTTCTCAATCACATAGAGACAGCATTCAGTATCTCGAATCAGTCGTTCGTCGTGCGAGACGATAATTACACCGCCCTTATACTCGTTAATGGCGTCTGCTAGTGCGTCGATAGATTCTATGTCAAGGTTGTTGGTTGGCTCGTCTAGGATTAGCACATCCGGTGCGTTTAGACAGAGTTCGGCCAACGCAACGCGTGCCTTTTGACCACCCGATAGGTCTTTCATTTTGATGGTGTGCGCATGAGAGCTGAGACCAAAAGTGCCCAGCTGTTTGCGTGCCTTTTCGTATGGAAGATCGAACAGTCGCATCAGATATTCCGCCGGAGTCTCCTCAGCAGTCAAATGCTCGCCAGAATGCTGATCGAACCTTCCTATCCTCTGTAAAATGTAAATTAACTTAGAATAATAGATAATATACAACATAAATAGTAAGAAAAGAAATGAAAATAAAAATACTAAAGTAAGATGTTGGAATGGTAAAATAATCGTCTGTTAAATAGAAGATCTGAATTCAATTTTCAATCTGGTGTTATTCCGTATATAAGAAATTTTGCTTAGAAAATATATCATAAATATAAATATTTCAATAAGTATTGCAACTTTTGCAAATCAAGATTTACAAATAATAAAATATTTTAATTATTTTGTAGATCAAACAATAGAGTCTGTAAACTGGAAAAAAAAAAACAAAATTTTGTTAACACATACGGTCTTGTACTTACCAATCGATGATTCTTCGTAATTTCTCCCTTTTGAGAAGTTATATCGCTCATTAATAATTTCAGGAAAGTAGATTTACCGACACCATTAGGGCCCAATATTGCTACTCGAGAACTTAAATCTATACCAAAGTCTGCATCGATGAACAACGGTTTCTGCCCTTCGTATCCAAATGTTACATCTGCGAAAAAATTAATGTACAAAAAATTTAACTTATATTTTTGTTACATATTGATTTTTCCTGTTTAAGTCGTATTGATGTTTTGTTCTTTAATATAATTTGATAAATAATTTAATACATAGAAGAACTAATGACATACTTTGAAGACCAAGAATTGGAGGTTGTAACGGTGGAGGATCTGGAAAACTGAATTTTACTATATATTCCCTTGGTCTCTGCAATAGTTCCGTGGGTCCGGTACCTTCCTCCTGTTTCTGCATCTTTGTTCGATTTTTTTCTTGCTTTCTCGTTAGTACCTCTTTTTGTTTCTTCTCAGCCTGCTTCTTACTCTGTCCAGCCGCTTTGAGATCCTTTAAACGCTTTTCTTGCTTTTCATACGCCTTCACCATTTCCTTTCTTTTTTGCACATACATCTTTTTAAACATGCTATAATTTCCTTTGTAATAGAACAATTTTTGTTGATCTAAGTGTATAACGTCCGTGCACACATTATCCAAGAAACTCTGATCATGCGATACAACTAGTAGAGTCTTCTTCCAGCCTTGCAAGTAGTTATCCAACCAGATGACTGCATTTAAATCTAAATGATTTGTAGGTTCGTCCAATAATAACAATGTGGGTTCCAGGAAGAGTGCTCTCGCGAGCGAAACACGCATTCGCCAACCACCAGAGAAGTTCTTCGTCGCGCGATTTTGCATCGCACGATTGAATCCTAAACCGGCGAGAATCCGCCTTGCTCGTGGCTCTGCTGAGTCTGCTCCAATAGCTTTTAATTCATCATATACCTGAAAGTAATGCATAAATCATATTATGTACAAGTTTTCAATAGCTGCAATCTTCTATATAATCTATTAAATTTTTTTTTTAGAAGAATGTTTGAAAAAAAAATCAATAAAAATGATGATTACCTCTTGCAATCTGTTTTGCACAGTGGTATCTCCTTGCTCTGTCAATTCTTCCAATTTCTTGCATTCTGCCTGAAGCTCTTTGCATTTTACATCGGCATTGAGCACCACTTCTACAGCTGGAGTATCATCTGCTATAACTTCTTGTTCGCAATACAAGACATCTATCGTAGGTGGGATATTAAAAGCTCTTTTGGCTATATGGCGGAGCAAGGTAGTTTTGCCATGACTGTGATAAAAAAGAACATCAAACATGATTTATTCTTTTCATAGGAAATATTGTCTCTTTGTACAAAATTAAAGTCTACTTGTTAAATTGTAAACTGTTAACATTTAAACAAGGAAACATTCTTAAGTTTTATAAGTCCTTTTTATCTTAAGAATAAGTATACACTGGATCGGTTACAAAGAACAGATATAGCAATTTAAGAGCTTATTCTGTAACTTTTAATGACTGCAACAATATCATTACATTAACATTGCACGGGTTTTGTATACTGCAAAATGGCTGTGCTACAATAATTTAACGATATCGTTAGAGTCGTGAAGAGTTACAGAATAGATCTTTTAGATCTCTTAGGTACGTTAGATGCAGCGAAGCAAGAGCATACCCGTTCGGTCCCACAAGGCCATACCGCCTACCCTGCGCTATAAGCAAGCTGGCGTTGGTGAAGAGCTCCTTGCCCTTGGCCGCTATGCTGAAGTTCTCCACCTTGATGTCGACCGCGTTATCCAGCTGCTGATTGCCGCGTTGTTGCGTCTGGCTCTGCGAGATCGTAAAGTTGGATTCTAGCTCGCTGTGACCCTGCCCACCTGCCCTAGTCAGCATCTCCATCGTTCGCTCATACTCTTGCTGCTTCTTCAACTTCTTTTTCTCCTTGTGCGTAAGTTTCTTGCTCGGCGTCTCCTCTTCGATCTCCACGTCCGCGAGCTTTGTCGCCACATCGTCGGCCGCTCCATTCTCGATCGCGTCAACCATCTTGTTCTTACCTTTGGTTTTGCTCGACATCGCTCGCGCGATCGTCCGATCTCCTCCACGACCCGTATGATTGCCAGCTGCTCGCACGCCTTAACCTAACCTCACTTTCTCCGCGTGCGCAGCACATCCAGCGTGTTAGCGACAGCAAAGAGGGTGAGGTGAGAGACTGAAGAAACAAAAAATGTCACGTGACGTCATCACACACATGGAACGCAACAGTAATTTTCAGTGCTGCCAACCTTGTTTGTTTCTTTCGTCGGTAGTCAGGTTCCACGGTTCCAGGTGAGCCAGGTGGAGCCAGGTCTATTTTCGAACACGCCAAGTGATGTGCACAGCTGATCCTGAAAATTGTATTTTTTATATTTTCAATGACAATAATGTCAAACAGTGGCAATATTTCGCGATTAAGTGTCATCAGCTCGTCGCATAAAACCCAAGATTCTCGAAGATGATTTGATTGAATCCGTCCTATCTGACGCTCGTTGGACCACAGCAGGTGGAAATATCCTGCGTGTATCATTTTGTCGTTATCCGAGATACTAGAGTCAAAATCACGAGCACCAAAGTGAGTTACAAATCGAACGACGTAATCCTTTCGTACGCAAGGCATGTTCTCCAAAGTAGATTCGATAATAGTTAATACTGCGTTACATATTTTTGTCGACAAGGATAACCTTTTCTTTTGTGCAGGCAAGTTCATTTTATACTTTACACCATTGATTTTTCTTGCATATCGCTCCAATCAATTAATTATTGCGCATTCATTTTTATCGTCTTCATACGTGTAGTGTTTGTCAAATCATATACTGAATTCGGTCACTCGATTAATGTATGAGACTCTGTGGATTAACTACAGAAATGATATTTCATTTAAATGATTGAAAACTGACAAATTCTTCTCACAACAGTTTCTGGCAATTTGCTGTTAACAGGCTTTGCTACTAGAATATGTCTGTTGATATTAACTTACCACATTCGGCTCTTTGCAAACTGCCAACATATTGATATTTCATGTACTAGACGAGCGTTCAGCTTTATTGTTCTATGAGTTATATCCTGTTAATATTTTGTTTAGTTATATATTTAGCATCATACAATGTTTATTCATCTTTATGATTATATTTAAAGTAAACATAGAACAAGAATTAAATAACTACAGTTATAGCTAAACATATAATTAACATTTATTTTCATTTTTGAGCTCTTACTCTGTTCTTTCTGAATTATTATAAGTATTGTAAATATTATTTCAGTATGGAATATGTTATGGATTGATCTGCGGAAGGTGTTATAGATTGATTTAGTTTGGATGTTTTAAAATAAAAATGATGAATAATGAAGTAGACAGTATGATCTTAATTATTAGATTAGATTTAGAAATACCTTCCGTAGCTTCGTTAATGATTACAGAGAGCTGAGCATGGCGCATGAAGACACAAATAAATTAACAAGAGAAGATTTTGATGCTGGCCCATGCAGCTTTGATGAGATCGAGCCAGGCTTGTACCTGGGTAACCTCACGGCCGCCACAGATGTTGATTGGCTAAAGGAAGCTGGAATAACTCATATACTAACAATAGATTCGTGTCCATTGCCAAGAAAGATCCAGGAGCGTCTCCCAAATTTAATCATAAAGTATATACAAGTGACGGATATGCCGCGAGAAGATTTGCTAACGCACTTTGAAGACTCCTATGATTTCATCGATCGTGCCCTTGACTCTGATGGCAGGATACTGGTGCATTGTTACTTCGGCGTGTCGCGATCCGCTACCATGGTGATCGCATATACCATGAAGAAACACGAGTGGAGTTTCGCGGATGCGCTCCAAGTGGTGAAGTCAAAGCGTCGCTTTGTCGCGCCAAATCCCGGTTTCGTGGCGCAGTTACGGCTCTACGAGGATATGAGTTACGGCGTCGACAGTACTAATGTGCAGTTCAAGATGTACCGGTTGCAGATCGCCGCCGACAAGGTGCGCAAGGCTCGCATTCTTCCCCAGAGCTGCGTCGACTTGGTCAAGCCAGATCCCGCGCTGACAACCGTGCGACCTGAGCCGTCGGTTTATCGTTGCAAGAAATGCCGTCGCATTGTGGCGAGCGCTAGCAACATTTTGCCTCATGCGCCGCGTGAGAAGCAGATCTGGCGGCATATCAGTGCCAAAAACGCTTCCAAGGACGGCGAGGGCTGTGACAAATTAATCCAGAGGAGAGACGAGTCGGCGCGAGTCGAACTCTGCGACAAGATTTACTTTGTAGAACCGTTGGCCTGGATGCCCGATATCACACACAACGTTGAAGGTAAATTAAATTGTCCTAAATGTAATACAAAACTTGGTTCGTACAGCTGGATCGCCGGCAGTCAATGTCCCTGCGGTAGTAAGATTGCACCGGCCTTTTATCTGGTGCCATCTAAGCTCGATTGGAGCAATGTTGTGCAGAATGTTCAAGTAACGGTATAGTATTAAGGTACGAAATAAAAAATATGTTGGAAACCAAAGCAATTAACTTTGGATAAATTTATGAGATGGAAATATTGAATTTTACATTCAGTGATAAAATTTCCCAAAGATTTTAAAATTCTTGATGTGTTTATACTAAAGCAATAAAAGTCAAGAAAAACAACATAAAGATGTTAATTAAGCGTCGAATATATACTTTTTTAGACGCTGTAACATTTTGGATGCCTCATAGGCATCCTTTTGATGTTTTTTAAATGTTTGTCTTGTTAAATTATAATATCATTATGGTCCAAGATGATGCAGATGTTGATGTTTAATCCTCAGCAGGTAATATATATCTTTTTAAGGTGTTAAATTTTTTAAATCTTAGTCGTTCCATGTAAAATATCGTCCAAATAAAAAAAATCTATTAAAAGAAAAATTTAAATCATATCACTTCATGAATGTGAGATCTTGCATTATTATACACCAGCGTTTTGTGCCGCGAGATTTAAGAAAAAACTCCATAATATCTGCTGAGGGTTGCGAATAATTTTAAGAGTGAGATAAATGGATATGATCAATATGTACGCCAATTGACTATATTCTAATCCTGTGCCAATATATATTTCGATATGTGTATATATATACATGTATTTGTTACATATATCTGTGTGTTGTGTATTTTTCTGATTATATTTATATATGTATATATCAGTAAGAAAACATACCCGAAGACGTTCTCAGATCTCAATGTTTTTATTGCACACGATGTTGTCTTTATCTATACCGTCTACATGTATCTGCATAAGGCCGTAACATTGTGTAGAATATCATTTTCTGTATTCTGTATTTAAAATATTACAATGTTCTAATATACTTCCTCATATAACATAATTTAATGTACTACTCTATCGACGGGAAAAAGAAGCGCTATGACTTATTTACTCGTTACCCTGTATGTTCAAAACTTACAGCTTAAACTAATCAGTTAATCATTATCATTAGTTATAAGGCACACGATCAACGTTGGACTTTTATCAGCGATAATCCATACAATAATTGTCCCTCTTTGCACATAGCCGTAGGGATGCCAGATGCTGCGCGAGATCATCTTATTAAATCAATTACGATATCAAATTTATTCTTAACAGACAAGCGTATCTTTGGTTTGGACGATTCGAGTGAACTTTCCAGTCACCTTTTATAAAGATTCCGATAAATGATTCTTTACGCGTTTACGTCACATCGCTTTTCCAGAATGATATTGGAGCAACCCAAATGGTTTATTCCGCAAGAAAAGAAAGTCATTAATAAAATCGTAATAAGTATTCCAGTCTTCATAAATTTATAAATGGAGAGTCATGTTGTGCCGAGACGAAGAATCTAGAAATAATTCCTAAGAAACAGTTCCGTCGCGCACGTGTCTTATGTAAGTCTTACAACTTCGAGAAGAAAGAACGTTTTTTATACACGGAAAGAATGATTTTACTGAAGTATCTAAAAATTCTGGATACAGATCTGAAAATAATGTTGTTAACTTACAAAAATATTTATGTAAAACCGCTCAAGTGTTGATGCTGAAAAAAGTTTTACCATCCTACACAGTTATTTTGATGACCTAATAAAATTATTTTCGTTAGCTAAATTTTCGCTAACGAAATTTTTTGAAATATTTCAGCAAAATCGTTCTTTCCTCGGATAAAAATATCACTTTTCAACAATTTAAGTCCGAATTCGATTTCGGAAGCTTAAATTCTCTTTCGATCTAAATTACATGTTCAGAGGTCTAGCATTACGTTCTCACGTTTTGAAGATTCGATGTTCGTGGATAATGTCACATACTCGCGTGCATCGCTGGATACGTCGAGCCGTAGGGATGCGCTCGCAGCCTCAAGGCGCTTAGGCCGTTCACGGCGGTTCCGTCGAGAGTGCCATGGTGGATGTCGGCCTGATGATGGTGATAAGGCGGCAGGCTTATGTTCGCCAGGCCACCGTTTGCAGCGAAGCCGTGACAACCAGCGGTCGCGGCGGTTTGTACCGCGTAATGCTGCGGCGTCGTTCGCCAATAATCGCCGTAAGAATACTGCGCTGTTACTTGAGTGGTAGCAGCTGCGTTCTGTGACGATTCCGCGTTGCTCTCCGCCGGATGTTGCGAAGGATGCGACACCCTGATAGGACGTAGCGGTAGCGCGGTCTCCATTTCCCTGCCCGCGGAGACACCCCGACTCATCGCTGAGCTCCGCTCGTTCCGTCGGAACTTTGCCCGCCTGTTCTGGAACCACACCTATGCAAAAAAGACGACATAGTGCTTTGCTGATGCTCTTATTATGTCAGTTTTTAAAGAGTGAAATCCTTTGGAACTGAAAAAAAATGGGAAATATTAAAATATTTTGCACACGAATAGAATGATTGCCTTTTTATAAGCGATCGATATATAGGATAATTAGATGATTTAAAAAATCAGATATCTGCTAGATTTCTAAAAAATGTCTGCTATTTTTCAAATTTTATTCATCTTCGATAAGATCTTGATTTTTCTTTTATCATCTATTATCCCGCACATTTTTTAGTCGTATATATATTATCAATAAAATATAAACTAGAGTTTATCAAGAATAACATTGCGATTTTGTTGCTACGAAAGATAAAGATATTTATGCAATAAAAAATAATTTTTTAAAATAAACTATTAAAAAAATTGAATGCGTAGTAGTTGTTGCTACGAATATATCTAATGCAACTGATTGTAAGTAAATTTATTATAATTGACTCAAAGGATTAAAAAGTTTTTAAAGTTGTGCATGCGTGCTTTAGCGTTTCTTTGAGATAATTCACTCATTTACAGATCTTAATTTTAATCATTTACGTGTATATTTATTAATTTAGCTTTACTGATTAGCGCTTCATTGAGTTTCTTACGATTTCTCAAACGAGTACGCTCGGCTCTCAAATGAATTCTACGAATTGAAGTCTTAGAGTATAATTCAAATAAATCCGACTCAAAGGGACATGCCGCCTTTTAGGAATATCTTCGAAGAAAATCTAATGGATCCGACATGTCCAACTATCACAAATGCTCTTCATCCGACATCGCTATGGAGGAAGACCAAGCCATAAGACAAATAAATACGACTTGAAGAACATGCTCTCCGTCAGAGAATCATCTCTTTTAACGAAAAACCTTCGTTAGAAATACTTGATCTACTTTCTCACGTTATTGACGCTTCTCATCTTACGTTACTCCAAAAATCTCACGTCTTCGACCGGAGAGACGCGGAGGGGGTGGGGGGAGGAGGGGACGGAAGGACACGACGCGCCGACCGAAGACGGGACAGCGTGACGGCTCCTGGCAGGCGTACCGACGACGCAAACAGACGCGTGTACGCGGCATGGACCGCTGACGACGGCGACGGCGACGCGAACACGTGCTCGACGCACGACGCCGCGCCGCGCCGGAGCGCGCAGATGCTGGAACGTGCGTCGCCGTCCGGCTAATCATAGCTCTCTATCTCTCTATCTCTCTCTCTCTCTCTCTCTGCTCTGACAACCTGTCTCCTCCGATTTTCTGCCTAGCTGTCCGCGACCTCCACCTTCCGCCGCCTCCTCCTCCACCTCCTCCTTCATCTTTCTTCCCCCCGTGTTATACTGACGACGCATTGCGTTCGGTACAAGAGAGTCTAACACATGTGCACGTCGTGATACTTTCTCGGACAGCTAGTCTTCTCGGTTACCGAGTGGAAGACAGCTTCAAAGACAGCGGTCCGCTCGTTCGGTCGTGGGTCGGTTGGTTGACTAGCCGGTTGGTAAGCATCTCGAAACGGCGGTTTATCGTTCCGCCACGTTCCATCATCCTCGTACAAGATGAACGAGATCGAACATTATTGAGAATGATGCCCTCTCGGTGTATCCCAATATGACTTTCTATTTCCGTTTATTTAATATTTTCTAGATTTCAATTTAATTAATATATAAAGCCAGCAATAAATGACGCCATGGCATAAATGTATTTATTAATCTAAATTGCGTAGAAGAGTTGTCAATGCATCAAATATTCGTCGGATAATTTGAAGAAATAATTTCCTAATTGTATATGAAGTAAGATATAATAAATCTAAAGAGAAATTAAATTAATTATTTTCTTACAAAAATATCTAAACAGATTTCTGGTATATCTGGTATTGATATTTGTTAAAAATTTATGAATAAAAAAAAATTTATTTTTACACTTATTCCGAGCTACCGTATTGGGATAATAGATTTGCATTACCTGCACTCTAGCCTCCGACAAAGATACCCTGGTTGCCAATTCCTCACGGACGAAGGCATCCGGATAATGCGTTTTCTCGAAGACTCTCTCCAACGCGGCCAACTGTTGCGCCGAGAAGGTAGTCCTGCTTCTCCTGGGTCTCCTGTTCCCAGCAGTAGAAGAGGTCTCGCTGCAATCTGCGAAACATAATAATCGGCAATTATCAGTGATATTTCACTCTCAATCCTGCTTTCGAGATAATCGTAAATTTCTTTTTTATTCTATTAGAATGATGTATTTTTCTATTATATATTTTTAAGCATTTACTTTCTTTAATGTACTATTATTGTATATATACTATTTCGTATTCTTCTTGCGAAGCAACAAACGTTTTTCCATGCTAGCGAAAAGTATCCATCGAAACCTTCTAGCATAATTGAAATATATCATTCGTGGAACAAACGTCAATCTCATTTAGAGTCATATTTTCGCGCGCATAAAAACGTTGCCATGAGAAGAATGTGAAATTATTTTTCTCGATGGCCTTTATCGCAACAGCGAAACGTGCGGTTTCGAAGATGCCGCTTGCGATACCAGCGGCCTGTACCAAAAAAAAAGAAAAAGAGAAAAAAAAAGAGACGCACGCGCGCGGGTCGACTAACAGCCGCAGCCATTCTTTGAATGACTCCACTATACTTGGGCATTCATCAAAGCGGTATAATGCGAGCAGCATGACTGGAAATGCGCGATTTCGATGAAATCAAGTGCGTCGTGAACCGCGGATTACATGCGAAGGAACGTGATTAAATCATACGTAATAGATGTTAGTTCTCATGTTAGTGATACATTTTCCATATTCCATATAAAATTTCATTTAAATAAATTGTCAATATAATATTTATATTCATAATTCAATAAAATTATAATTATAACAAAATTTTAGTTACAAAATAATAACATTGAATAATCGCGCTATATGGTATATTCGAATAATTAGTGATATTAGAATAAGTGATATAGAAGTGATATAGTGATATAGAAGATATGGGGAAACAATATAATTACTCGCAAGTTAGTACCAAGAATTTTCCATTAAATCTTGTTCAAACTTTATTACACGCTTCCTTAATAATAATTAAATATTTGTATTATTCAAATATATTAATCGATTTTTTACTTTTATTATTGTAAATGTGAACTTTCTGTTTATAATTTGAATTTTTTTGCACAAGCAAAATTTTTTCGAAATATAAGAGGGCGGAATTCAGTTTCCCTTTCTACAATCGAAAAAATTATTTGATAATTTAATAAAAATGTTGCAGAATAATTCTAAAATATTTCACATTTTTAAAAAATACCTAAAACAGTAAAAAAATTGGGTTGATTAAAAATCGTAGATTATAAACGGAAAACGTCTATAAAAATATGATCGAAAAACGGAGGATTAATAGTAATTGATCAGAAATTAAATAACATGTACAATGATATAAACAGTATACTGATATTATATTCCTTACCCAAGGAGTGCGTCGGCGTGGATAGCAGGCGTGAGACCGTGAAATCCTGCGGCGTGTGCGAATTCGCTAACTGCGACACTATCACGCTATTGTTCGCGCCTTGTTCCGCGTTCGTCGCAGCTAACATTTTTCACCCGCGCTTTCTTCCGGCGCGCTTTCCCTCACATCGGTATAACAATCAATACGATTCCCATTGCCAAGTTCTCCGCTTTTCTCGCGGACTTTTCAATTTTCTAACACATCCCCTTCATTTCCCGCGTATTTATATCAACGGCCGCATCGACGCGAACATCTCAATTTCGCGAGATGAAATCTGTAAGGAAGAATGAAAAATTTCTCTTCGTGGAAATATTAATACACTTATACGATTAGATCTGAATTATCAATGTAAAGTAATATTTTTATTATTGCCGTTTTATTATTAGCAATGAATTGCACTGTACTACATTATTCAAATACGATGTAATCCGTCTCGAAACGAAGCCGCGACTAGACTTGCGGTTTAATTTCATGCGACATGATTATTCAGCCGAGATCTCAAAATATCAGCCAGAAATTTAATATTAGCGAGGCTCGGAATTGTAGTGGAAATTCAAAATACGAGAAGATAATCTGGACGAGCCAATTCGCAAATACGTACAAGATGCGTATGAGATGAATCCGAGATGTATGTCAAAAGATGCATGTTTGTATTGCTCTATTTTGGATGATATTCAAGTAGAATATGGTTTACAATGTAAATATTGTGAGAAACGTAAATATTGTATGTCCACGTGCTAGTATTCTAACACGACGATGTCAAATGAATTTTTAATAATATATTGTATAATAATAAAATTAAAGAAATGATCTCTTGCGACGCTAGTGGCAGTATTTTTGGATAAAACAGAGAAAGAGAGGGAAAAGAAATATTATAATACATATTATATTATATTAATCAATAATTTGTTATAACTAATTTAATTTTTACAATAAATTTATTAATTAATATTTCTTGAAAAAGGTATTTACAATATGAAGCTTTCCTTCTATTTTCCATGCATTATAACAATACAATAAAGATTAATATTATTAATATATTGATAATAACGTATAATAATTTATAATACGTTTCGTAACATAATTAGTTGATTATATTTAGAACGTCAGTGTCAATTGTACGAGTTGATAACGATTTCTCTTTCTCCTTTATTTCTAGCGAATCAATTTATAGAATTTATAATCTTTTTCCATTTAAAGTGCTATTTATAAAATGTGAATCGATATCGATGTAACATCGAAATTATAACGATCAGCGTTAAATTATGGTCATGTTTCACTGTAACATTATTTGCAGAATTGGCTTGGCTATATAGTATGTATTCTCGTCACACGTTTAACATTAATTCGGATAATGCTATTTATCTCGCACGTTGACCCTGAACGCAATCTTCGTATCGGGCAATTAAAATTTGGAATTGGACGTCCGCATTTAGCACTAAAAGTGGCGCTAAATAAAGTTGTGACGTATTAGAATCTAGGTCTATTCATAATTTGAATGAAGTAGGCAGGTAGCAAGATGATAATAGTTCAATACAGAGCAATTCAATTCTAAAATTAATTTCTTGAACAACCTAAAACTATTTTTCTCAGTTTTATGATTAATTACTTTAAATTAAAATTAAAAAAAAAAATGTTTATTCATACACGTTGAGCTAATGCATTGAATCTTTTAATGAAAGATCCCGAATAAAGCAGCATCTATATACGATGAAATTTTAAAGCGTAAAATTTAAGTTTCAACCTTTAATCTGTATAAGAAATTGATCAATCATAGTCGATTATTCTCCTCACATTTGATTGATAGCCAATTTCTTTTACGGCTTAAAACTTAAGTTTTAAGTCTTGAAATGTTATTGTATAGATGCCGCTTAAAAGGTTTCATTGATTTAACGTACGCGATCGTTAAAAGATGATTATTTATGGCGATGCGGGATATGCGAATGAAACCGGCACGTTTATGCGTAATTTGTCTCGGGAAATGTTAATTAAAGCATTTTCGAGCTCGAGCGTGACGGTGCAATTAGGGCCACGTGCCAGCGGTTGCAAAGTGTTCGCAGACTGTTCGAAACTCGCGCGTTCATACTTCAACCGTATATAAATAATTCTCTCTTAGTATATCTATCTTGCAGAATTTAACCGACTCGAATATATAGACGCAAATACCGTTGACAAAGTACAATAATTTAATATCGTTTTCGCGATGAAATATGTTCTTGGTAATTGAAACATTTGCCACAATGTGAAATTATAACTGAAAATATGTATAATAGACATTGAAAAGTTGTGAGTAAATATTGTATATTTGAAGAGAGAACGCTTTTAGTTTAATTCTTTTACTTAAAGTATAAAATAAAAGTAAGTATAATGTGAAAAAAAGATTAACATCCTTACAAAAGTTTACACCTTCACAGTTTTTTTAATAAAATAATTCGACAAGAGAAACGATAAACAAAAAGCATATAACAGAAAAGAATAACATTTCCAGTATCAATATTAAATTAATTTCATATACGTGTACAGTTTTTTTACTTGGAAAACTTACAATAAATTATCATTTTATTAATTAACTGCACAATCGATTATATTCTAAGATTATTTCTAAAATCTCAACCGCAAGAATACGGCAGTATGAATTGAGTTATCTCCTTGTAAATTATCCTTGTCACAGATGCATGTTTTATTGCATTTATGCCACGATAATTCTACGAAGAGATACATGTTAATGTATGTTTGTCGGTTAATTTCCGATTTGTCATACCCGTCTGGTTATATATTCAAGTAAAATTCGATTGGTTTTCTCTGTTGGAAAATATGCTAATTTCGATATTTACCAGCATAATCAGAGAGTTAAAATACGCGCACGCGTTTCAAATCAATTACGATTCATCACGGGCTTTTGATCGTCAGATTCGTATTTGTGACCCTGTATTTTCTCATTGCCCAAATATTATAATAATTAGAGCAATGATTTTTTTGACTTTTTGGAGAGTTCCTGGCTGTCTCGATTGTTATATATATATCTTTAATTTTTGAATTAATAAAAAAAATTGATCCTTTTTTCCTACCTTAAATTGTTGCTCGAATAATTAGACGTACTTTGCATATTGCTAATATATGTATATAAATATTAAATATAAGTAATATTATTACATTTGTATATAAAATTATAAGAACATATACGTAAAATGAGGTTTTTCTCGAATAATAATGGACTACTGAAAAATCTCATGTATTTGAATTTTATGCTAGACCACCAATGGCCTAGCTGAGGCGATTCTTATCGAGTGTCGATTAAACTTATTAACCTTTAAACTGCGGTACCCGCCAATTGGCATTTTATCGCGCGACGACGATCATGATTTGACCTCAGCTTTGATCACCGATTACTGATATGTTGTTCTAGATATTTTTTGTTTCTTTTTACTCGCTAATTCTTATGCCAATACGATATTAATAAAATCGGATAAGTAAGTCAAAATCGAAAGAATAACACACTATCCTATAATAATAACGTCCAATCAACATAATTTTACTCCTGCAACTTCTTTAGATTAAGTTTGTTAGTATCTTATGCCTGTTAACTTCAATCATAAAGTTTCCTGATATACCTGATACCTGCGATACCCGCCAACTACCCCACTTTCGCTCACGCTCTTTCACTAACTTCCACCGGACCAACTTTTATCTCATAAAGTAAACTTGAAACGAAAGTTTTCTATTCACTTCTGAACTTAAAGGATCAATACACGTCCGTCACAGATTTCAATTTGCGTTAAAATGCGATGTGACTATGGAGTTAACAATCTTTCTTCATGTCAGCGTTACGCGTCGATCGAGGTCTCGTGAGTCTCATCTGATCGCGGGAACGCGCTCGAAAACGAAGGCGTCATTTTGCTCTCGGGCAGCCGAGATGCCAACTGACTTGGCCGAGTTAAGACGTACTTAAAGGTCCTCATCGGTTTTCTATCTCTCTCTTCTTCTTTCGTTCTTTCGCGTTCTCCACGATCTTCTCTGCCTCATGTTGTGTCGCTCGTCGCCGACGAGCAGAGGGAAATAGAGCGTTTTAAGAGTAGGTGGAGATTTCTGTCGCAAGCTCCACCTTCATTAGAAGCTCATTGGTTTCTAAATGGCTACTGAGACTCTTAGAGGCGGAAGGATGTATGTGTATGCGCTTTTATTAAGATGCGCCGCAATGCATAAAATGCGGTGAGGCAATCGATTTATTTTTGTCACTCTAATGCAATATGTTCCCGGCAAATTTGTATAATTGGATAGAATGCAAAAATTTCTTCTTTAAAAGAAATAATTGCGAAATATCATTTTTGTATGATTTTTATATCATTTTTATTAAAAAATTAAGAATTAGTTGAACAATATTATTAAGAGTTGATACTTTTGTACAATTTCTCTTGACTAGTTTTCTTAGCTACGTCATTTATAATTTGATATGAGATACAGAATTATCAACTATCTTAGAAAGTTAATTATCGTTAATTGAACGGAAATTTGAACAGAGCAGATAATAAAAGAACAAATGAATCATTTATCGCGGATCATTAACGTGTTAACGATGACGTATAGGCGCCGGCGTTCCCGTGGTTTCAGCTTTCAAGGATATGTGTTCCAACAGTAATTTTTATACACCAGAACACAGATCTTCTTCACCATTTTTCTCCTTCTTATCCTTCTCCTCGCGGCTGGTATCTCGTTACACAGGGGTGTCGTGTATCCTTCACAATGTTCGATATACAGAGGGTTCAGCCATTCAGAATGATCCGGAAAGAATAAACGCAAAGGATCTTGTTATACATTTTTCATGTTAGCTGATAGCTTTTCTGTCCCCAACTGAACATTTTGACAAAAAATGTCCCAATTAAAAAAATTAATGATTTTCTATAACATATATTTTTAATAAGAATGTTATTCATCACTGTAGAAAGAAATTATTTAATAGTCAGTGTGCTTTGTTTTTAAAATGTTTTTTTAGAACAGATTTAAACAATCAGAAAGTTTCTAAAAGTTAAGAATCTCTGATAATTTTTTAATTTGTAATTCACAATTACATTAATTTTACACAACTCTAATATTTGCAAATAGATTTTATGCATTTCCAAAAAATTATGATTTAGTGAAACGTTGAAATACTAATGTTAGATTTGAAGGGAGCGTAATTAATTTTTTTTCTTTCGAAAAACTTAGTCTCTTTTTTACAATAATACCACACGAAAACTTCAGTTTTTTTATGATTT